CCTTGGTATGCTCCTTCCTCCCGTTGGCAGCTCGTCCCATCGCCGGCGCTGCCCACGGCCTGAGACATGCATCCAGCCCTGACCTTCCCAGCAATATTTGGCGGTCTACAGACGACAGCTCACTGAAGACCCACCTCCCCACTTGCAGGTTATGGTACACGTAGCATTTACAAATACCAGTGCAAAAAACAGGAAAGACACCCCAAATACCACAACGGCTCAGCAGAGGCCCCGGGCACCGTCCGCTCTGCTCCCGCTGCTCAGAGCGTCTGGACGCTTGCCTTGACCTCAGCGCCGTGGGCTACCTGTGCTGGCAGCTCTCCGTTCCCCTCCCTGGGCGCATTGGCAGCCAGTGCCAAGGGGTTTCGGCTAATCACCAGGTCCAGCTTATCTCCAGCCTCCGAAATCAGGGGAACAGCCAGACAGCAGTCAAAGTCTCTTGTTCGGATGCGGTTTACCTGCCAGGGTGGATTTAGGACGTGCCATAGGGAGGAACAACAGAAAGACGATGTTTGTTAGTCAGAAAACACAAGGCTGGTGCTAAACCCACACCTGTGAAATCACACAACTCTTGGGGGTCCTGATTTCAGGTTCACAGCAGAGCAGGAGCACCCCTTCATGCTGAGCACATCCTTGCTTAGCTGAGAACTGATGCAATAACTGGCAAAGGAAGGGATGGAGAGGGGAGTCTGGATCAGGCATAAACACTGAGCCCTGGTGTCTGAGGCAGTATTACAAGTATTAAATGCTGCAGGGCTCAAAACCAGTTCTCCAGTTCAAGCTTGTAGGAGAAAGGTTGCCATTTTCCTTTTTTTTTTTTGCCACCATGACTTTTACTGGCCATAAATTTACGATGCAGGGTATTCAGCGCCTAGAAAACAAATACAGCTCAGATGCTGAGGGTTCTGCCAACCATTTTCCAGCTCAGCCAGCAGTAAATTGTGACTACACTGAGCAGTTTCTGCTTCTCCTCTCCCCGTTCACATCCTTGAGTTCAGAGGAGTCTGGATGCATTTCACATGGGCTCAGGAGGTGGCTGCAAATTCGCTCTGCAGGATTCAGCAGTGAAAGCACTTTTACTGCTGTCTCTTGCAGACTTTCAAGCACATTTCTAGGCTGGGTCATCTGCAAGAACCACCCCAGCTCTCTCACCTACAGCTACCAGAGCACCTGGGCTTGCTGCCACGACAGCTCCAGGTTGGAGGTGGTTGGCAAACAGCACAGGGAGGGAGAAAGGAATTTCCCATCTACCTTTGGAGCGAACATAACCCCTGGGGCCAGGCATGGCTTCCTTCTCTGGATAAGGGCTGGATGAGTCCATGCAACCCTTCCATCTAAAACCCTTTCCCAGCACTAATGCATGCCCACGGAGCTGGGCTCTGTGACAGCAGCAGTGTCCCCCTGCCCTAGCTGGTATCCACACAGATGACCCCAATACTGCTCCTTACAGTGTAGTAACTAAGGACAATTTCTAGATGGACAAGGAGTGATAAGCCAGAAGCTTGCTCTGTGTTTGCAAGGCCACCAGCCCGGCAGATCAGTGCAAAGTGCTATTAGTGCAATGCTGTGCTCCAGCTAATCCATCCAGCCGAGAGGGAGAGGGTCTGTGCTGGCAGGGACAAGGTGTTCCATTGGCCTTCAGCAACATCATCATCCTCATAATCAGAAGCACTCTGAAGCACTCTCAGCGACGCGTTTCTGTACTTCTTGCTGGGAGTTGCCTGTACCAGGGTCTCCAGTCCCTCATTCACAACTCCACACATCAATGCGATGGCAATCACCTCGTCTTCTTGTAGGTGTCAGCCATGTGGCACAGCATGTGGAAGGGGGATGTTGAAAGCCTCCACACTGCTCTCTTTCGGATTTCAGGCACAGTTCCCAGAGCACTTGGCACTTGCAAAATGCGACATGTCCAACATTCAACAGAAAGGCAGCCCAGAGCCTAATTAGCTTCTTGTTCATTCTTGCACCATCTTTTATTTGAAGCCGAGAAGGAATAATTGTATAGTAGCCAACTGGCTAGAGACCATAACAAGCTTAAACAAGGTTCCCCACAGCGCTGCCAGTTCTCCAGTTACCTGATGTACATAATATATTGGCTCTAATCCTACTGCTAACAACCCCCACCTAGAAATTAGTAAAACTAAACATCTTTCTGAGTGTTTCCAAATATGGTCACAATATCTGCATTTCCAAATGATGGCAATTTTTCCATTGGGGCTGCATTTTCTCTGTTGCTCTTTGAGTTGTCCCAAAGCTAAAATAGTTGGTTTTCAGCCATATAAAGCTCCTCTCCAGTCTCCAAAACTTACTCTTCCTGTCCCTGTGGTAGTTTGATATGCCCAGCTCACATTTATTACAGACTGTGCTTTTGACCAGAGTTTTTATTCTGTTTCTGCGTCAGCTATTTCAGATCAAATATCTTCCAAAGAAAAATATCCATTGAAAACACTTTGAAGGATGTGTTTCCTAGAAAACTCTTTTGGTTGTCAAAGGCATGCACAGAACTCCAAGAACACCGCTTAACTCCACATGGGGCTTTGCAGGAACATGTATTGGTTAACAAGGTCTAGTTCATCCAAAAATCACCCTCTTACATGACAGGAAAAGGACTGAGGGTGAGAGGGGGACGTAACACAGCTTTTTGGTTGGTTTGAGGTGCCCAAGCTCAAAAAGGCCAATGCCAGGCAGGCTATGTCCTGGAATACGTGTAACCTAGGGGTACCACCTAGGGGTACTACCTAGTGATTTCTCATTATAAAACACAGATCTCATTGAGTGCTTGGCAGCTAAGTGCTCACCTAGTTGGCTAACTATTACCTTTCATTAAAGTTAGTGCTGCCATGGATGGATTTCACTTCTCTCTTCCTCTCAGCCACTCATTCACTCCATCCCAGCCTCCAGAACTGCATTTTGCATTGATTACCTGAAGCACTCTGTCATATGGCTTGAGGCCACACTGATCTGCTGGCCCATCTGGACGGACCATATTAACATAGACACCTTTTTCTAACAGGCCGTCCGACACACTGAATCCAAAGTCTTCACTCTCCGGGTCTTTGTGGAGTGTCATCTGGAGGAGCAGAAACAGAACACATGTTTTAATACAGCAGAGGCAGGAGCAGAGGTACAGCGTTGACAGGACAGGAATAGCATAGGTGATGTGTGTGGACCTACAGCAATTCTGCTCTGGGTTTCCTGGGCAAATTTTTCTTAGCCTGGGCAGCTAATACAGATTCAGCTTTATTTACTATCAGCTTAGGTAGATCACATGCACAGGTGCTTTGGTAACTGGCATATAACCAGCCCCATGCAGTCCCTCTCCCTTGGGCGTGGAAGGAAATGCAAGTAATGTAATAAAGACTGAGCTGCTGTATTTCACCCAAAGGGCATCAAAGCAAGTGTTACTTCCCTAGCCCAGGTTACTCTGTGCAGCCCCTGTGTATGCCAGATCAGCACATGAAAAATCAACGTGTTCACAGGGAATTTTCAATGTAGTGTGTCAAATGTGAAGACAGCTTGTTTTTAATACATCACTCAGCAGGTACATCTAAACTTCTCCATATTACTCACAAGTTCTTTTCAGAAAATTCATATCGGTAAGTGCTGACATACTGAGGACAAGAAATAGGTAACCTCATCACCCTACCCTTGAGCATGTCACGCTTTGGCCTCATCTAAAGGAGAGGTGCAACTGCTGAAGTGTATCTTGCCACGGGGTAATAGTAGGAGCTAGGGACAACTGATTTCCCAACACCACCAAAATCTCCCTTTGCTTCCCATGAACTGGGAGTGCATCTCTACCATGAGGCTCTAACTCCATCACCATGTTCTCGGCTGGGTGAACCTCATGGACGTGCGGACCTTGGGAAGAACAGTGCCCAGGATGACGCACAGGAGCAGCCCACCTGGCCTCAGCCTCACCTCCAAACACAGCCAACACCAGATGCTCCAGAGGAACAAGTCACCCTATAACATGCCTAATTACACAGTTCTCCTCTTTCAGGTACGAAGGAGTTTTATTTAAAGACACATTTGCCATGCCCTGAAGGACAAGAGCAGATCAAACATGAAAAAGTTGTTTTTTCCAGCTACCATAACTGCAGGTTTTGTTCTCAAGTCACACTAGGAAAGAAAGAGGCAATCAAATTTTTGAAACCTCTCCAGCTCCCTTCCCTGCTTGCATTCTGCATCAGTAGCTTCTACAGTTAATTACTTCTTCTAAATACCGTTGCCTTGCACCATGCTTAAAGTGGCTATGTTCAGCTGGGTACTGAATTCAAACAAGTATCCCACTGCTGAAGTCCTACCATTTACACCCCTTCAGGAAAGGCTGGGGGTGGAATGGAAAGATAGGGAAAATAAGTTATTTATAAGTTAATTTTCATAAGAAAAGTGGCCTACTGAATGGAGAGTGCCACTGGAAAAGGGTTGACAGGTCTCCACTGGCCTGTACTTTGAGCTCTCTTGCCTGTATCTGTAGTACAAATTAATGAACTCCAGAACACAAGGACCTAGAAATGTCATCTAATAAAGGGAAATAACAAAGCACAGGTTTAAACCCCACTAAAGTATGGCAGCTAAATCCCATAACTCTTCCGAAGAGGCCCCTTCCTCTTAATCCGACCCTCTGGAAACCTTTGCTGCAGAACTTGGTGGGGGACAGCTTTAACAAGGAACATTTTCTGGGTGTCCCTCTGAACAAATGAGATCACAGAATCACAGAATCACAGAATGGTAGGGTTTGGAAGGG